TTTTCGGCCGTTTTCGGTGGTTTTTAGCTTGAAATGATCATTATTTCTTTGGGTGTTCATTTCTGACAGGGTTATGCGCGCTTATTGGGGCTAAGCGACTACAAACTACACAATTGTCTAAGCCTCAGTAAAAAAAAACGAAATCTGTTCAAAAAAAAAAGAGGCAGACTTTGCCTATTTTAACAAAAGGAAAAAAGAGAGATTTCACGTGAGGAAGAAGATTCAGAAGACGTCCACGTCTTCTGTTTTTCTTCTTCTTCTTCTCACTTTCAGATTCTTTTCCCTTTCCTTTTTTTTCAACTGGAAATTTAATTTTCAGATGCAGACAGGAAAAATTTCGAAGAGAGGAGAAAGATTTTTTTTTTCAGAAAATTCGTTTTTTTAACTTCGCAAATTTATTTCCCAATTTTGTTCAAAATTGGAAATTTCAAAAAAAAATTGTGAAAAAAAAATCTAAATTAATTTTTTTTTCCCATAAAATCGAAATTTTAGAAAAATTTAAAATGGGAAAATTCTAAAAATAATGATTTCATGGAAAAAGCAAAAATGATTCGGATGGAAATTTTCATTTCGAGCTCATTGAGCTGGAAAAAATGTTTTACAAAAGTTATATATTTTTTCGAAATCTAAAATCTCAAAAAATCAGAATCCCCAAACAATCCAAATTTTTAAGAATTTTTTCTAAAAACCAGCAAAACCTTGAAATGTTTTCAAAACTTTAAAAAAATCGATTTTTTTGATTATTTGTTTTGGACTACAAACTACAAAATTGTCTAAGCCTCAGTAAAAAAATCCCAGACATCCTGGTGATTGGTGAAAAGAATAAATGACAGTTGGTCAAAAAAAAAATGGGGAGGGATGTCTGGGATTTTCTCATCTTGTGAGATTCTTGTCACAAGTTGTAAAAGTAAAAGTAAAAAAATGAAATTGGAAGATCAGAAATCTAGAAAAAGATATTATAAATCATTTTGAGAGAAAAATTGGAAAACTTTTTGAATTTTGAGATTTCAGATTTTCTCAAAAAAAGGGATTCAAGGAAAGGAAGTTCTGTTAATTGTAAAAATGAAAATTCTGATTTACTTTCTCAAGGAACCAGAAAATTTGGAATTCTCAGAATTTTGATTTTTAATTAAAATTCTGTGAGATCAATATTTTTGAAAAACTGAGAATTCGAAAAATCTCGAAATTCCGAAAAGGTTCCGTAAAATTGAAAATTCCAAAAAATTCAATTTTTTCTAGTTAAAAAAAATCTAAAACTACAAACTACAAAAAAAAGAGTTAAGCTCCGCCCATTTTTCTCTCCGCTTCCTAGTACGATTTCTAACAAAGCCAATTATTCGCATTTTTGACATTTAGAAGAAATAAATGTGTCTTCTAGAGAATTCTCTAATTCCCCAAATAATCAGATATTTTTGGAAATTCAAGGTTCTTAAGAATTTCCGCAAATAAGGACATTCTATTAGAAAAAGTACATCTTTTTGAATTATGTGAATTTTAAAAGTTTGTTTAAAAAAAATGAAATCCAAAATTTTCAAAAAAGTGAAATTCCCAAATTTTCAATCATTTTAAGCCAAAAACGAGCAAAAATGGTTGAAAACTAGCCGAGTTACAGCGATTTCAATTTTTTACTGAGGCTTAGCAGCACTTTGTAGTTTGTAGTCGCTTAGCCTCAGTAAAACATCACGCGCGTCATCAACTTTCAAGCCCTGTATCTCGGCTAGTTTTCAACCGTTTTCGCTCGTTTTTGGCTTAAATTTACAAAAATTTGTGAATTCTGGATTTCCAAATGTCCCGATGTCCCCTTTACTCACCTCAACGGCCGGCTTGGGCCGATGCTTGAAACTTTGTGATCTTAATGGTATATTTCTCATGTCGACACTCAAATATCCGTCGGTGCCTTCTCCTGACAGTAGTTCTCGATTTTGAGACGATTCGGTTCTGCAAAATTTCAGAAAAATTAAAGTTTTATTTTCAAAAGAAGGATAATGAAATTAGAAAGTTTAGAAAGTTTAAAACTTTAAAACTTTAACAATTTCTGAGATTTTAAAAGATTCTAGAAAACCCAGAAAATCTAGAAATTCAGAAATCAAATCATTTCACAAATTCCAAAAACCTCGAATTCACAACTTTCAGGGATTCATAGAACGCCACTCAGACCGTCAACTTTGAACTCATATATCTCGGTTCCTGTGAAAGATATCAAAAAGTTGTTAACTGATAAAATGTTTATCATAATATCACCAACATTTAATCAGTGAACTACTTTTTGATTTCTCTTATAGGAGCTGAGATAATTGAGCTCAAAGTAAGTGGACCTCCTTAGGGGTGAGAGGAAAGGGGGGGGGGGGAATTTCAGTCAAATTTGAGACCATGTATCTCATTTTCTGTGAAAGATATTAAAAAGTGATCAACTGATAAAATGTTGCTGAATTTATGATAACATTTAACCAGTAGACCACTTTTTGATATCTTTTACCCAAATTGAAATACATAGGCTTGAAGTTGACAGTTTGGGTGGCATTCTATTAGAGTGTTTACGGTATTCAGAAAATTCTGAAGTTCCAAACGCGTGGAAATCACCAAAACTCAAGAAATCAAAAAAATATCGAAGTTCAGAATAATCAGAAAATCCCAGGAATTCAGAATTCCAGTATTTTCAGAAATTCCAAAATTTAAAAACTTCGAAATTCAGAAAACTCAAATATTTTAAGAAAAATTGAAAAGTTGACATTCAGAAATCTTTAGAAGCATCAGAAAGTTCAGATTTTCAAAAAAAAAACCCCCAAAAAAAATTGGATTTCTCAAAAATTCAAAAACTCTTCTAAAAGTTTTTTTTTTTGGAAAAGGTCCATAAACTTTTTCCCCCTATCCCCAAAATCCATGAAATATGATCCGGGGGAAGAGGACTTCTCTCTTCAAGAAGATTCATCAAATTGGCGCTTTTCCACCAATTTTTCCTCCTTTTTTCTCTTTTTTTAGGCTCCGCCCACTTTTATTTTTTCCTGTTGTCAACCGGAAAAAATAACAACAGGAGTTGTTGTTTTTTTTTGCAGGAAAGAGGGAATCTATTTTTATTTTTTCTTATCATTCTGGTGTAGGTAGAAAAAAAAAAGAATTTCCGGAAGCAACCAGTTGGCACTTTCTAGGTTTTTCAGGTGATAAAAATGAGTGATAAGGATGAAGTAAAAATAGTGAAAAATAGTAAAAAATAAATGAGAAAATGATCAGAAATCCCATGAAAAAAGTTATGAAACTTTGGGGAAAATGCAAAAAATTTTGAAATTTCCAAAACTTCAAAAATTCTGAAAAACGAAAAAAAGTTTTTGAATTCAAAAATTGATAAAAAATCACAAGTTCAGATATCAAGCATTAGGAAAATTTTTAAAGTTTTGAATATTTCAAAAAAATCAGCTTCCCAAATTTTCAGATTAAAAAACATTATGTCTAAAATTTTCAAAATCGGTTGGAAATTCCAAAATTTCCAAAATTTCAGATTTTTCAATTTTTTCAAAAAAGTCCCAAGGGAGGTAAGGAGGGAGAGGAAGGCTGTCCACTTTAAGCTCATGTATCTCATTTTCTGTGAGAGATATCAAAAAATGGCTAACTAGGAAAAGGTAGCTCATATCATGATAAACATTTTGTCAGTTGACAACTTTTTGATATCTTTCAAAACAAGTGAGATATATAGGGTCAAAATAGACGGTCCGGGTGGCGTTCTATTAGAGTGTTTACGGTAATTGAAAAGAAATGTCAAAAAAATCGTTGTAATTAGAAATTTCAGATTTTTATACTATTTTCAAATTTTCTAGAATTTCGGATTTTTGAATTATTCAATTTTTCAAAAAGGTTAGCACCGTAAAACCTGTAATAGAAGGGCCCTCCAACTTCCAACTTTGAGCCCATATATCTCGATTCCCGTGAAAGATATCAAAAAGTGGCTAACTGATAAATTGTTTATCATAATATCACCAATTTTTATTTTTTTTTTCAGTTGACCACTTTTTGATATCTTGCACAGGAGCCGGGATAACTTGTCTTAAAGTTGACAGTGTGGGGGCCCTTCTATTACAGGTTTCACTTCCAAGTTTCCTAAATGTGCTGGAATTTCTATTTTTCTAGTTTTCAAGGAAAAAAATCCTAAATCTTGAATAATAGAAAAAATTCAATTTGTCCGCATTTTTCTTCTTGTTGACCTACTAAAAAATGAAAAAAAAGAAAGAAAAATTCTTAATCAATCAACGAAAAAAAAAAAAAAAATTCGTGACGCATATTCCATATGGGACACAATAACTAGAAAATAAGAAATTTTCAGACAAAAAATATATCCAAAAATAAAAGTTCAAAAAAATTGAATGCGAACATTTTGAGGTCCAATTTTTCTAATATTTTCGAAACTCAAAGGAATCTCAAAAAGTTAATTCTGATTTTAATGATTTTTGGCTCAAAATTCAGCACCTTTGTACCACAAAGTGCATTGTGCACTTTGGGGCTGGAGGTCCCAAGTGTCCCTTCTTCTTCTTGAGCACCACGAACGCTTCAACTGAGAGAGAGAGAGAGAGAGAGAGAGGCAGAGAAAGAGAAATGAGGTCAATTTGAATGGCAAGATGAAGAATGGAAGTGTGGGGGGCCCGGAGGACACAAGAGAACAGATGACACTCTTTTATTACTACTACTTCAAGATCCGAAGAGCCCAGAGGGGGACCCCCTCTGGGCTCTTTTTGAAATCAAGAAGGATGAGTCAGTGGCTCTGAAGAAAGGGGAATAAAATGAACAAATTACCCCGTGGGTCCTGTCAGGGATCTTGTCATCCAAGGAACAAAGACACGGACAGCATAAATTAAAGGGACTAGGATGCATTAGAATGGACCTGAAGGGTGACAGGTGTCCTAGGGAGCCAGGAGCAGGGAACATGAGACCTAGAACGCGTATTGTACTTAACAAGCAACAAATAGAGACTAATAGTGATCAAACTTAAGTAATCTAGTGCTTGGAATATCCTTCATTAGATAGTTCCCAAAATTCCAGTCATTTTAAACCAAAAACGAGCGAAAACGGTTGAAAACTAGCCGAGTTACGGTGATTTTTAAGTTTTCCTAACGAAGTTTTGTAGTTTGTAGTCGCTACGCCTCAGTAAAAACTTTGATGCGCGTCTTAGTTTTACTGAGGCTAAGCGACTCCAAACTAGAAAACCTGGTTAGCCTCAGGAAAAACTATCGATGAAAACTTCAAAGCTCTGTAACTCGGCTAGTTTTCAACCGTTTTTGATATGGTTTTCGGTTTGAAATACCTGAAATTTGCTAGACTACAAACTACAACTAGTTCCTAAGCCTCAGTAACATTTAAAATGTTGTAATAAAGATGAGATAGAAAGAAAAAGGGGAGGGAGGAGGTTTGAAGTTTAATGTTCTTCTTGATTGTTGCACTTTCGATTGTTCCAAAATGTTTAACAGAAGATAAGAGAGATAAGAAGAAATATTGGCGGAAAGGTGCAATTTGAGTACACACAGCCGATTGGAAATCTTGGAAGTTCTTAGATTTCAAATATCTGGAGAAAGTGATAAAATTAAAAATTTGAAAGGGAACTTTTCCTAAAATTCAAAGTAACAAAACTGATTTTGGAATGATAACGAAATCAGGAAGTTTTGAATCTCCAACTTTTTTAAGTTTGAGAATGTCCAAATTTTCAATTTTCAAGATGTTCTTACTAGCTAACTTGGAAAATAATGAAAGCTTCTTCAAAATTTTCCAATTTTTCTGAAAATTTCAGAACAGACTAAACAAAACTAGAGCTTCATTTTTGTAGTGGACAACTTTTTTGAAAAATTAGTTCCTGAGAAGATATGCCACGTGGAAGCTAGTGCCTCTATTGACCCTGAAATCGGCATTTAGCGTAGCCGCGCTTCCAAGCGGCATATCTCATATTCTAGTTATTCAAAATTTTAAAAAATATCAGAACATACTAAACAAAACTAGAGCTAAAATTTTGTAGTTGACAACTTTTTTGGAAAATCAAGCCCTGAGAAGATATACCACGTGGAAGGTGTACCTCTTTTTGGCGCTGGCTCCCTCGCTTTGGTGGGCGCGCCTCCGGGTATGTCCTCTTCCACGTGGCGTATCTCCTTAGGATCTGATTTTTCAAAAAAAAACTGTCAATTATCAAAATGAAGCTCTAGTTTTGCTTAGTAGAATCTAAAATTTTCAGATAAATTGAACAATTTTGAGGTACTTTTTGAAAAAGTTGAAAATAAAAGTTGAAAATCGGCATTTTTTCAATTTTTTCAATTTTTTTTCGAAAATATTAGAAACATAAAACCGCCTAAATTCTGGTCAAAATTACTGTTCCTATATTCTCCAGAGTGCCTAGTGAAAAAAAGCCAATAAACGCCAACAAGAGCCTAAAAACATACTCTACACAGCAAATCTACACAAGCTCCGCCCCCTTTTTCCCATATTACGTCACAAATGCCCAATAAATCACGACCCATCCTATTCAGAGCAATTATTTGGATGTCACATTTATTGGATTCGGCTCTTTTTGGACCAAAAAATGATGTCAAAAAAGTTTTTTTTTGGGAGAGAGAGGCTCAAAAATTTTATTACCCCCCTCATCACAACTTTTTGATCTACAAGAGCTAAAAAACCTCAGAAAGTGGAAAAGTGGGCGGAGCTTTGAAGAAATCAAGAAATTGAGAAATAGAGTGGTTGCGAAAAATTGGAAAATCTAGCCTTTTTTTCTAATTTCTTGGTTCCCAAGCTCCGCCCACTTCTGGTAAAAGGAGTCAATGGGGTTTTCGGGTTATTTGAATATGTCAAATGAGTCCATTTGTCAAATGGACCCGAAAAAAGACAAGAAGAAAATGAAAAACAAATAAAATTTGAATTTTTGGGAAAACGGGAAGAGGGAGGGGACGAAAATATATTAAATGGACGCTTTTTTG